CTTACGTAAAACAAGAATGATATTATTATGCTTAATATTTATATTTACGATAACTTCAAATTTTAGTCACATGAATAATCATGTTGTTAAATATTTCTAATCCACGTGCCAGACATGCAGGGACGGATTTAGGAAGGTGGAAGGGGTGTTACGTGACACTGCTTCGTTGGAAAAACTTACTAAACAAGTATATACAATTAAGAAACAAAAGAAGATATAACGATTATATACATATTATAAGTGACACTTCTTAAACAAATAATGCACACAGCCTAGATGGTTTTGTGTTCAAACCTCCACAACCTCATTTTTTATTTTTTTTCTTTGACCTTCTTTGTTTGGTAGTAATTATTTGGTGCTTTGTAAAAACAAGTATTTTGTATATATATATTCTCATTTTAAACGGGTGATACTGATTATGATAAATTCTTCGTACACCACCGCAGACATGACTATATTTCTTTCATTTTATTAATACCATCCTTACAATTATTATATATTTTTATCGTATATTTAGAAATTATTTAGTTGTTAATGATTAGATGAACCAAAAATTAATCTCTCAAGTGCCAAATTATTGAATACTATGACAATTCGATTCTTGATTTTGAGATTTAATGCTTAATTTTGTGTTTAAAAGTTATATTTTAATTATGGATATAACATATGAGAGTATGACATATTTTAGCAAGTATCTAGTTAGTCAATCGATAAATAAATGGCAAATTGGTAAGATTTGAGAACAATGCAAGAGAAAATGTGATTGGTATAAATGATGCAATATGTAGTTGACAGGATATCAGTCTTTAAAAATAATGCAAGAGAAGTCGGTCGTTAAGTCTTTTTGTTTTTAAATATAATTTTTAATTATTTAGATATTAATTATTAAGTCTATTTTAATGATATGAATAGATTACAGATTTAATTTTTAAAATGTTTGAATTCTGAATTTAAAATTTTAGATTTTTGGATATCCAAAATACCTTATAATAATTATCCCTATCCGGATAACCCAATAGACATTATTGCATTACCTATATGTACAACCTAATAAGTAAAAAATATACCTTATTCATCACACATCACCTCATCTATACATTCAATACCTAAGTTCAATGTTCGAATTTTTACTCTAACTACTTCTTGGATATTTTATTTTTATTGTCAGCAAATTCTATATGACATGATTTTACTATGTTGGATTTATTAATTCACAGGATCTTATCAATGCTTCTGTTACATTTCCTTAATAATGGTTTCATTACTTGCATGAATACTTTATTTAGATGATTGTGATAGCAATATTTAAGTTAATTTGATATAAATATTTTATTTGAATACGAAAAGAAACAACTCAACTTATAGACTTAAACTAAAAATTCAAATTATATCCAAGTTAATAATTACTTCAAAATTTCAGTCCAATTTAAGATTATTTGAATTAAATTCGAATTACATTTTGCGAATTTTAAAAATCGTTATATAAAACAGACAATTCTCAAATTCAATCCATACACAACCCAAAATATGAAGAAAGTGATAATTAAAATAAATACTCCCTCCGTTCCTTTTTTTATATGTCATCCTTTTCTATAAATAGTTGGTTCATAATATTTGTCATTTCATAAAATTAATGCATAAATTACCACATTGTTCCTTTTTTACCCTTGTGAGTTATTAGACTTGAAAATATACATTTGACCAACTTAGAAAAGCTAAGTAAATGATTCATGTTCATTGATTAAATTAATTAATCAAAATAAATTAATTCATATTCATTGATTGAAAACTTGAGTTCCAAAAAAATTAAATTAGAATAGAATAGTAAGCTTATTTAGTTTCTTAATGCATGTAAAATCTAAAATAGTGACATATAAATAGAAACGAAGGGAATACATTAATTTTAGAAAAGTCAACAGGAAAGTAATCACTTGTAAAATGTGACCAATATATAAATGTAAGAATTTTAAGGTGAGTGAATGAAAATGAAGTACAACATTAACCACCAAAGAATATGGTATAGCCGTTGGAATTATTATTTCTTCTTTAATTAGATGTCTCGATTTCATTCCTTCTAAATTAATCGAATTTTAATATAAATACCTTATATCTAATAGAAAAAAAGAAGGTAGAGCATTAAAATGTACTAGGGGTGGTAGGTGTGTCCATAAAGAAGAAATGCAGAATTATAAGTTTTGGATCTGGAGCTACAATTTAATGAATGCCTCATGTGACCAAACAACTTTCCTTGAATCTCACCCATTGAATAATTTGATCCTTGCAAACATATTTTCAGGAATATTAATTCCTTCCCCCTTATTTGCATGGAGGAACCAAAAAACAATGCTATTATTATACTCCCCCGTCTCATTTTATATGAATTATTTGATTTGACACAATATTTAAGAAAGAAAGAATTTTTTTAAAAATTTGTGATCTAAAATAAGTGTTAGATGTTTGTATAATTATAAATCATTTCAGTAAGGATAAATAAGCATTTAAAAGTTTAATTATTACTTAATATAAAAACGTATCATTCTTTTTTAGATTGATAAAAAAAAAGTGAGTCATATAAACCGAGACCAAAGGAATAACTAGTCTATAATTTCGGATGGTAAAATATGTTTTGTTTGTCTTTAATGGAAGTGTAGAAGTCAAGCATTTTTCAAAATATACAGTTACCCACATAAAAACATTTTTATTATATGTTCTCAAAATACAGGAATTTAGACTTGTTCAAATTGAAAAAAAAAAGTTCCTTTTACATCAACTGTTTGTGATGTACTTTTTAATTGAAAAGCTAAGGCAATTCGAAAATAAATAAGATAATTCTCTCTAAAAACAATGATATTTTGAAATTAGAAGAGTATAGTACTAATAAAATTACAAAAAAAGTTTTGCAAAATATAAGAGAGTGATGATAAAAGTAACATGCAAATGCTTTGTGTATATATAACACATTAAGAAGTCATATTTGTACATGAGTTGTGACTTGTGAAAAAGATACTGCAAACAGAGTTGTACTTTTTTGGCTAAAAGTACCACCAATCACTCTAGTGGGGCCCTAGGGTGTTGTACTTTGTCTCATTGTTATATTTTTTATTTGTATTTTTTTCTTATTTTATTGGATTTCCTTTTATCATTTTGCATCTTTCCACTTCATTTAATTAGTACACTACAATAAATAATATTATCTTACACTAAAATGAGATCTCATTTTCTATCCTTTTTTAAGAGATCACAAAATTTAATTCATAATGTTGTAATTTACTTCGATATTTTACTTATTGATGAATTATCCACGTAAGAACATTGTTCCATAAATAAAATGAATAAGTATATATTTTTTAGAAGAAGAAAGAGAATAGGAGGTGCTTTTAAGAAGCAATACAAGATTATCGGTCTTAAAAAAACTCATTTACTAGACTAACTAAATTTAAATATACTCCAATCTTGTAACATGATTGAAACACCCCCACTAAATTCCCGTCAAGTTTAGAGGTGTTTTCAATATTTCTCTCCGTTTTTTAATTGTCGTATGTTCCTACAAGAGTTTGAGACCAGAGGCGTATTCAGGATTTTGAGATGATGGGTGCACTGTTATATAAAGGTTGATCTATGATATAAATTTGATCGGTTCGACATTTAGGTTTTTACTTCTGAAAACTGTTAAAATTTTAAAATTATAGGTCTAAAATTAATTCTTATATACCAATTACCACTTAGAGAAGTGTTATCTAATTTTAGAAAGAAAAATAAAATAAGATAAATATAAAATTCAACTTTCTAACCTCGCAGAGAGAGGTGCACCCAGTCATAATCGCATTATGTGATACTTAAAGTGTGGGTTCACACATCTATATTTCAATATTTTTAAAAAATTATAACACTACTATATATGATCTTGGGAGGGGGCCATGGAATCACGTGAACCCGGTGACCCCCCCCCCCCCCTTAGATACGCCTTTGTTTGAGACCACTTGCTATGTCATGTGGCAGATCGAGAATATATATAAGTTTAGTTAGTCAAGTAGAGAGTTACTTTTAAGAATGACAATAATTTGAGAACAAAACTTCTCTCTAAGTAATAATAACAAAACTAATAATTTACTCTAAGTTTATGAGTATTTACAAATACTTCTCTCTAAGTAATAATAATATAATCTAAAAAATATGACAAATAACCTACTATATACTTGGTTAAGTATTTATTTTTTGTAATGTATGTATATATAAAAGAGTAGAGAAAAATAGTGTCAAAGTGTCAACGCCGTTAGATTTTTTGGATATAAAAAAAGTGGTTAGCTTGTCTCCATCACTCATCACATGCTCTCTCTCTCTCTCTCTCTATATATATATATATATATATATATATATAAGTACATTAATATTTTGCTACTCTTTACATTCATGGATCTGTCTTCCCCCACTATACCCAATTATGCTACTCCTACGCCTCCTACCCCACTACTCTCTTAATTCCTATATTCATCAAATTTAAATCAATATAGTACACACTAGATACTTTTAATTACCAACTCTAAATTCCATCCAATATTTCTTCCGTGTAGATATACTTTTCTTTTTAGTCATAAAGTTACATCTAATATTTCTTCTTTGTCTCGATTTATAAGATATATTTTTCTTTTTAGTCAGTATAACGCTTTCCTATACGAATTTTTTATATTAAAAAGTTTGTGATTGTAGGGTAGAGGGATAGATAAGAGAGTGGGACCAAGTACATATTCCATAATAATGAATGAGCATGTAGGACATGTACCCCACCGTAATAGGCTCCTCTCCATTATTTCACTAACAAAATGGAGGACACTATAATAACTGAAAAGAGGAGGCAGCAGTAGCAGTAGCAGAGATGACCAATTGTTTTAAACTATCACATAGACAGTGAAAAAAGAGTGAAAGCTTGATCATTGGTTATGACCACATATTTTTAATTGACAGTATAACATTTCTTCTAGTCTAGATCAATAAGAATGTAAAAAAAGGATTAGATTTTCTTCCAATTTTATTTCCTTTGCTCTTCTTGATCAAAGATATATAAAACATATACAAACATCTCCTTCCAACTTACAACATTCCATGTCCCACCTCTCTCTCTCTCTCTCTCTCTACTAAAGACTTCATATACCATTAAACTCTATCATGAAATTAAACCCCTAATCTAATCTTAGGATTAAAAAGGTACTTAAGAAAGAAAAAAATAAGTAAAACAAAGCTAAGGTAAGGTTCAAAGGGAAAATTAATCTCCTTTGTATATTATGGCATTAATTAAAGACTAAGAAAATCATTTAGACTATGATGAATGCAGCAGCCACGCTATCCATCTTTAATAGCCTCTCACATCACAGTGCAGCTGTTGGTGTTTTCATCACTGAAGAAGGTGCTGTAGTTATCACTTGGAGGTGGTGGATGGCCGTAGTAATACGGGTTGTAAGGTGCTGGTGGTGGCATGTAATTGACAGCTGGTGGTGGTCGAGCGTACATCATTGGTTGAAACCTTTCGTTCCCATTGGCACGCTGCTGCTGCTGTTGTTGCTGCATCATCATAGCTGCCATTTGTTGCTGCTGGTAGTAAGGATTGCCAGCCATGACTTCAGGACCAGCACCTTGGAAGTAGCCACCGGCATTACCACCACCACCGCCCCCCATTGCTGCCCCTGCTGGTAGGCCTTGGACTGCCGAAACATGGCTCATCTGACCCACTGGATTACCCATTTGACCCATTGGAAGACCACCCATTTGGCCCACTGGAAGACCACCCATTTGACCCATCTGCCCCATTGGATTAGGCATGTTTCCCAACTGGCCCATGTTTCCACCTCCACTCATAGCCATCATCCTGTTTGGCATGCCTTGAGGCATCCCATCATTTCCTCCACCTCCCTTTTTGGCCCCATTGCCATTCATGTTAGGAATATTGCCAGCACCACCGCCGCCACCGCCACTACCATTCTTATTCTGTCCACCACCATTGCCGCCACCGCCACTTGGCTGCCCTCCACCATTCTTGCCACCCTTTTGAGCAGGTCCTCCACCTTGATTTGGATTTCCCCCATTACCACCGCCTTTCTTACCACCGTTATTTCCGCCCATGTTAATCTGAACAGGGACATTACCACCACCTTTTTTCCCATTACCACCACCTCCATTATTGCCACCATTGTTACCGCCATTTCCACCCTTCATAAGCTGAGGGTGCTGCCCATTCATAAGACCATTCATCATCATCATATTAGGCATCTGACCTCCTCCACCATTACCACCCATCATCGGCTTCATCTGAGCTCCAGGATTACCACCCATCATTGGCGGCTTCATCTGAGCTCCAGGATTACCACTCATCATTGGCAGCTTCATCTGAGCACCACTAGAATTAGCCCCTGCACCCGGGCCCATCATCGCCTTCATCTTCGACGGGATATCGTCCAGTTCATCATCCAACTCATCCTCATCAAATTCATCATCCTCATAATCAGTCAAATCATCCTCATCAAATTCATCATCAGTCAAATCATCCATCTCAGGCATGGTAAACTTAACAGCCTTTGGGTTCTGGTCTTTCCCCATTGGGGGAAGTTTTAAGTCCTTGAACTGTGGGGGCAGCTTCAGATCTTGCAAAGTCTTCAACTGTTGAAGTTGCTGCTGATTTGGCATTTGAGCTCCTCCTCCTCCTCCTCCTCCACCTCCTCCACCTTTAGGCTGATTGTTCCCACCTTTCTGAACTTGGACTTGGACTTGGCCTTGGCCTTTGTTATTGCCACCTTTACCATTATTAAGCTGATTTTGTTGGTTGTTAACAGCCTTGGGAGCACCCCATACCTCTGCATGTTTCCCACTCTTGGCTAATTTCTTGATCAGTGTAGCAGGGTCTACATTTCCAGAAACAGTCACTTTTCCTTGTTCTGAATCTATGTTTGTCTTATAAACCCCTGGATATTAAAACAACCCCAACACAGAATCAAAATAGTGTATTAAACAAGCCATATATATTTGGATATTCAGATATTGAGTCTTGGAAAAATACCTTCAATCTTTTGCAAGATTTTCTTTACTTTATGCTTACACCCATCACAGTGTATATTGACTTTAAGGACACAAGTCTGCATGCACAAGCAAAGCCAGCCAGCCAAACCCAACAGAGAACAGAGTAAAGTAATTAACTTTCTCAGAAACATCCAACATTAAAACTCAAGAGAAACAACACACACTCACACACACACACAAACAAAAGTGAATAAACCCATAACAAGTTTTGATCTTTCATTCAAACAGATACTAATTACTTCACAAAAATGGAAACAGAGGATCTTGAATTAGAAACTCAAGCAACCCCCAAACAAAAACAATTTATACAAACACATTATTGGAATGAGCCAATTGAGAAAATAACAAGTACCTGGATCTTCAAGAACTCTTCTTTACTCATATCTCCAAGCTAATGAACAAAAAAACAAACAAAAGGGGTAATCTTGAAATGAGAAAAGATGAGGTTTTTATAGCTAATAGATCTGGAAAGAAACCAAAGACAACTAAAAATCAACACAGAAATGGTGAATTTACACACACTTTAAAACTCAAACACCCCCTTTCTCCATTCTTTTTTCTTTTTCCTCAAATGGGGTTCTACCAAACAAACACAAAGAGCAAAATGTGAAGAAAAAAACCAATCTTGATTAGAAAGAAAAGAAAAGTGAAGTGATTTAGAGAAGGAAGAAAAAGAGAGTTTTCAGGGGCAATGGGTAGTAGACATTATTATAACTTCTCTAGTTCCTCTATTTCAGAGTTAAAGAAAAAGAGAGAGAGAGAGGTAAACACTCAAAGAAAGAGCAGACTGGCACAAAGAGTGAGAGAAAAGAGAAGAGAAGGGTGGCCTATAAATGTTCTCACTCACACTTCTTTGTTTTTGCCCTTTCTTTATTATTGTAAATTTACATTTACTTTTATTAGTTTTAGGGCTTTCTTGGAATATAAAAAAAAATACTTACTGTCCTTTTTTTTTAGTTGTCATATTATCTTTTTCAAAAGTTAGTTTGACTAATTTTTAAAATTAAATTAAATACTATTAATTTAATAAATATTAAATTATTATACGAAAAATACTATAAAATTGTAATTTTTTATTTATTAATATAATAAAAAAATATCATAAAATATTGATAAAAGTTTGACAAAAAAAATTATGAAAATTAAAAGAGAAGAAAGGAGTAGTCAATATATTAGCCGAAGAAGAAAACTCTTTTGGCTTTTTCTCTTTTACATTTAATTTCTTTTGGTTTAAGGGCTTTGATGACTTAAACTAGTTGGCTTCTTGGCTTGGCTTAATGGCTTGTTGTGAGTTGGTTGTAAGTTGGTCGGCAAAGTATAATAAAACTAGGTAACAAAACTGATAAATAAAAGAAATATTTATTATTCAACAAAAATGAATAAACTCTTGTCAGAATTTATCCCAATAAGGTAATAATGTAATAAATGAGGTACGAAGCAAATATTACTCTCAAATTTTGGACCATATACAGCAAATTACTGTCATTTCTCCTCCTTAAAATGTCAATTCTAAAACTTCCTTTGATTTATTTTAATGTTTTTCACACCATGATTTAATTCATTGCTGATAACTTTGAGTATCACGCATTTATATCAAATCTATATGTGTGGTGGATAAGTAATGTGCATTTTAAATATTTTATTAAGATTAAATTATTTGTTTTCGCAAAAACATCTACGCACATAGATATTTACCATGATTGTAATGTGAAGGAAATTTAATAAATTTTTGAAAAAAAATCATAAAAAGTCACTCAAATTATACAAATTTGATTAATGAATGCAAATAATGTGATGGCCAAATATTATTCATAATTTAAGGAAATAAAGTTCGGTAGTTGATTCTCTTGCAAATAAAGGAAGGAAGCGAGTCAATTCGAATGTTTTGCTTATTTTTGAGGTCTTTTTCATTTTTCGGAAAATTATATATAATCTGATAAAGAGGGGAAATTTTGATTGAAAAAGTTACTATTTTGACTTGTAATTATTTGATGCGACTTAAAAATTGTCGTGTTCTAGTACGTATTAGTTGTTCTGATTCCAACTCATTGATTATATTTTGTCGTTATCGATAAAAAAAAAAGGATAATAAGTTAGCAATGTACGCGTGAATGTTAAACTTATTATATATTGCGTATGTAAATTCGATTGAGAATGTCTTCCTAAAATATAATTCTTTTAGGACCTGATTAAAGTTTGGGATGTCCCTCTGTTTTTTTTTTCTAGTAACTAGGAGATAATTAAACTCCTCTCTTTGTATAAATTGGATGTATATCCTAGAGTTCTCATTATACTTTACATTCCTTCATCTTGTATTATTTTGGATATCTCCCTTTATTCAACTTAACGATTATAAAAAAAGTGTATACTTCAATAGAAGCGAATTATATAAAAAAATAAAATAAAATAATTATTTTTTTTGGATCAAAGTTTGTATAGACAATTGATTGGGTCACTTATATATCTTATTACTATGAGTCATCCTAATATATGTTATGCAATACAAGTATAAAGTCAAGTCAATTCATTATCAAGTTCTACAAGGTTCACCATTCAACTTTGCTCAAGCAAATTATTATTTTTCTCATTTATGTAGATGATATGATTATCACGATAAAGATAAAATTGGTATCTCATGTGAAAACTATGTTACATTCCTTGTTGAAGATGATGAATCTAGAAAAGCTAACATATTTTTTTGGATTTGAAGGTAAGTTGTGAAAAAAAGACACACAATTAAGTCAACAAAAACATGCAAAAAAACTCTGGTTGGATCACTTATATATCATAAGTCATCTTAATATCTCTTATACCGTAAAAAATTTAAGTCAATTTATTATCAAGCTTTACTACTCAGCTTTGCTCATAGTTACTAAATATATATATATATA